TGTATGTCTGGCCACGCTTTCATTACAAAATTAATATTCAAAAGACCCTGCGCTACAGGGTCATCAGGATTCATTCCTGAATACCTTCGCATCCTATCCCTGAGCCTTTCCAAGAAATCACTTGGGGTTTCATCTTTATTCTGCTGAACCTCAAAGGCTTTAATAAAATTCTGAGACTTAGGTACTGCTTCTCTAATTCCTCTAATTACCATTTCTCAAAGTCTCTCATATTAACCCTATCCTGCACATTATTGTTGTCCCAATTGGGGTCCACATTTGGAAACTTTTGTTCTGCTGGAATCACTCCATCTCCTGGAGGATGATCCTTTTCCCATTCCCGCATTGCTGCCCTTCTGATCATTCCTCGTTCTTCCCCTGAGAATAGCAGATTCAGAATTGCCATCATTTCTCCCCAGCAATATAGATTGGGTCCCAAAAACTGATCTAACTGTTCTGCTAATCCAATGGGATCCTCAATCAGAGATTTCATTTCCTTTTTAAAATTTTGCACTTCTCCGCTAGAAAGGGGGGCATTTGCATATCCTATCTGCCTAGGTCCCAGCGGCACTTCACGGAGAGGATATGTAGCAGCTTCATTAGTGTTAGTAGTATTAGCACCAGGGAGCGGAAAATTCTCAAGGTCTTTTCTGCATTGTTCCAATTCTTTTACAAGTCTGGGGTATCCCCTGTTCCCAGAGTTAATGTTATTTACAGTTCCTGTTTCTTCTCTCAGAGAAGGTGTTACAGTGACTGCTGCTGTTGCTGCAGCCTGGGGGTTATAAGGAGGAGGCAAGTTATCCAAAAGGTCCCATTTATCACTCGTCTCTTCCCCTTTCTTTTCTTCTTTATTCTGATTTTTGCTTAAAACCAAATTAGATCCTTGTATCCAACAAGCCGCATACTCAGATTCTTCTTCCGAAAATGGAAATTAGTTATTAACATACAAGTTTAAGGCCTGACATACCCAATCTTTGTCAGACCCGTATTTTGGCCAAAATACTGCAGTTCCTTTACTTGGTTCTTTTGTCCAGACTAATTTTCCTAAGGAGTCTGGTTGTCTGCATTTTACAAGGTCGTCTGCCACATTCCTTCCTTCTAAACAATGTAACTCTGCAAAAACAACATTTATATTCCCACACATCCTCCAAACTCAAGGTTGGTGCATCCCTATGAGTAAGAAGGCAAGCAAAAAGGGCAGGAGACCTGCATGGATGAGCAGGAAGCTCCTGGCAAAACTCAAACAGAAGGAGGAAATTTATAGCATGTGGAAAAATGGACGGGCCACTTGGGAGGAATATAGGGACACTGTCAGAGTATGCAGGGATGTGACAAGGCCCATTTTGAATTAGATCTGGCAAGGGATATCAAGGGCATCAAGAAGGGCTTCTTCAAATACATCAGTAGAAAAAGGAAGACCGGAGAAAATGTTGGCTCACTGCTGAATGGGGTGGGTGCTCTGGTGACAAAGGATAGGGAGAAGGCAGAGTTGCTGAATGCCGTTTTTTGCTTCAGTCTTCATTGCTGATATCAGCCCTCAGCAATCTCAGACCCCTGGAGACAAGAGAGGAAGTCCAGAGAAAGGAGGACTTTCCCTTGGCCAAGGAGGATCAGGTCAGAGATCATTTAAGCAAACTTGACATCCACAAATCCATGGGCCCTAATGGAACACTATCCTAGCTGAAAACAGGACATGCCAACATAATTTTGGTTTCTTGATCATGGGAAGGTCTACATGACACTGGATCTAATGACTCCTGATGGGAAGCACCTTTCTCAGATGGTGAAAAATGATTTTTGCCCAGGAGTTAGCAGGGCTGATTGATAGGGCTTTAAACTAGATTTGAGGGGGGAAAGGGACAAAAACGGGCCCGTCAGCAATAAGCTATAGGATGGCATGCCAAAATTGGAAGGACTGCATGCTAGTGAGATCCTTCTGTCTGCTCTAAAGCATTGGGTACAGTGAAGCACACCTGAAATGTTTCTACAGAAACACATGCAGCATGAGGAACAAGCAAGAGGAGCTAGAAGCCTTGGCCCAGTCCTAGAGCTATGACATTACTGGCATAAGCAAAACCTGGTGGGAAGAGACCTGTGACTGTTGTGTTACGATGGACGGTTACAGGCTCTTCAGAAGGGATAGGCAGGGCAGGTGAGGCAGGGGGGTGGCACTGTATGTAATGGAGGGACTGAACTGTACAGAGCTTGCAGTAAGCAATGACACGGTTGAGAACCTCTAGGTAAGGATTAAGGGACAAGCAAATAAAGGGGATGTTGTTACAGGAGTCTACTATAGACCAACCGGCCAGGATGACAACACTGATGAACTATTCTTTAAGGAACTGAGAGATACCTCTAGATCAGCTGCCCTTGTCCTTATGGGGGACTTCAACCTGCCAGATATCAACTGGGAATATCACATAGCTGAGACAAAGAGGTCCGGGAGATTCCTGAAGCACCTTGATGATAACTTTTTGGTACAGGTACAAAGAGAGCCAACTAGGAAAGGTGCCCTCCTAGACCTGTTGCTTGTAAACAGGGAGGGTCTGGTGAGTGAGGTGGCGATAGGTGGCCACCTTGGCCATAGTAAAGACTAGAAGAAGACTATATAAGGTGGAAAAGAATGCATTTCCTTTGCATAACTGCTTTGGTGGAACAACAGTGTACCTCCTCAAAAATAGTGTAAAGAGGCAAATATTCACACTGAGGCAATCTGCATTTTTTCCTGGATAGCAGCAACCAGAAGGAATGCTGGTGGAGTTTCCTCCATGGGAGCTATCACTCACTTCAACCTACACCACCTTCTGCATCAAATCCTGAGAAAATCTGCATTGCTCTTCAGGCACAATTCAGGATGCAATGGCCTCATATAGTTTCTATTTTTCTAGCACATGCTAGTGTCAGAGCCCGGACAGGCTTCTTTGTAATTTTTCAAGTCTCACCTGACAGCAAATGCTGATATCGCAGCATGTACAGACTATAACTAGGAGCGAGTTTTGGGATGCAGGGAGGAAGAGAAATGGAGACATTCCTCTGGTGATTAAACTTGAGATATCTCAAAAGATGAAATAATCAAAGTATTTTAGCTAGTACCAAAAGTGGTACAGCAGTATCTGAGCATGAAGAAAGTGGTTTTAAGCATTAAGACACCGAAAACAGGGGTTTAATCTGAGGGTGAAGACTGGCATTTAACAAAGATAGTACATTCTCTTGCTGCAAAGTTTTTTCCAACAGGATTAGCACCTTCTTCAGGCAAACCTTAAGGTCTATTGACCTTAAATCTTCAGAGGTTAAAAAGCAAAAGCAAAACACACCGCTATCTCACAAAAATTAAAGATGTTTCTAAAAGTATATGCCAGAACTGGCACAGGGTACTGACACAGATGAAGAACAGTGAATATATTAAAACAGAATTAGTTAGATGAATTCAAGTTGATGTTGTGTACCTGATACTCCATTTAGCCAGATGTCAGCAAGAAACACTCTTCAACATAACTCTCCCTACAAAAAATCCTAGGTCCCAATACAACAGATGTGCACTGGACAACCCTGCATGCAACCAATGACAGCATTAACCGTTATTAAAACCATACTAAAAGCCCCAAATTGTAGAGGGATGGGACTGCACTACTTAGTCTGCTTAAAAAAAGTTAACAGGACAGCAACAGAAACGAAAGTTATATCCCTCTGTATTGCTTAGACTTAACTGGACAATGTGATTGCCAGAGCAGTGAAATCAGCAGAAATAATGCACAAATCGTCCAAAGCTTCTCTTTTATGAGAAAAAAAAAAAAAAAAGACTTGCTACTATGTAATGCCAAAAGCATTTCAGTGATAGTTATATTTTTAGCAACAGTAATTTGAGTCAAAGTTTTACTGCAGGCAAGCTAGGATTTTAATAGTATTATGTATAATTGAACAGTTATATAGCTGTTAATTTAAGTAAAATTTAGGGCAATAGCTAAATAACTTAAGCAACGTTGTCTCTTTAAAGCAGCGTTAGGCTTCTAGGACAGTTAAGAATGTAAACTACACTAAAAATTTCAGATTAGCAAACTCAACACCTACAGGATGAATATATAATCACTGCATGCTGGAAACTCCCCCAGCAGAAGGAAAGTCCAAGATTTATTTTGTACAATGTGCCAATAGTTATTAGGCATGCACAAGCATCCTGTGAGTTAAGCTGGACACTTCGAGTCCACTTTTCCACAAAAAGGCCTACCATAACGTCTTCATGCATGCAGAAGTCCACACACACAAACAGGGAAAAACCACAAACAGAACAGGGTACGTTTCACCTTCTATACTCTTAATGGAGAAGAAGTCATGAAAGTCTCTGCGGGTACTACAGAAGGAAAATTTCTCTAGTCCAATGTATACATAGAATATCACTGAAAAAAAGACTATTTCCTTAGTTAACAGTAAGAAATTAACAGCACTCATGACAAGCTCGCTTGCAGACTGAGTTATGATTTCCTAGCAGCACCATTCTCATCTGTATCACCTGCTACTGCAGTTATACCTAGGAGATACTAGAATTATATTTCAATCCTTTTTTGAAGTTGCTTTCTCCCTTTCTGTTGCATTGTCTTGTGATATCACTGACCATGTCAAATAGCTATAAAAACGATCCATTTCTTTAACAAGGAAAAGTTCACTGAGTTTTACATAAGATGCAACATTTGAAGTATTATTAATACAGATAGCAATTACACACGTTGTTCCTCCTAGATATACAGCCCAAAATCAGAGGGATGAAAGTCTCTATGTAGTTTGCTTTATTTCATTAAGGAAATATCAAATTTTTAGTAAAGCAAGTTAAAGATGCCAGTACACAAGCCTAATAGAAGCAAAGTATATTCGATGTTAAATTAGTATGTCTAAAACTTAAACTCTTATTAAGTATCGTCTTCTCAGCTTCCAGATTCTGACTTCTAAGCTTGTAAGAACTGAAGACACTCGCTTACCATGAAGAAACATTTTATATAATAAATACATACCTATGCTCTGCCTCAAGTGAGCTTGAAAGAACATCTGCCTGAGGAAAAGTTGAAGATCTAATGACTAGTTGAGATGTAACTGAAGCATTGCCATTCTCTTGCGGAATTTCATTTTCAAAGTTTTGATTTATATATCTCTCATGACGAGGACTGTTGCTGTTATGCAAGTTAAAGGAGTCATCCTGTTAAAGCAATTATACATTACAGAGTTTAAAAGTAAATTCCACTCAAGTAAACCTCTACAAATGCTGCAAAATTCCCAGGCTGTTGTAACAGCAATTGTAACTTACTAGCCATGATATAAGAACTAGGAAGAAAGCTTATTTAGAAAGCAGACTGTCCAGGCTCACTCAAATATTAAAAGTTCTTTAATCCCACAAATCTAAAATGTTTATTCTACTCATTCGTCAACTTGTAATTTTTATTCAGTAATTAGCCAAACTACCTCAGAAGTCTTAGCAACTGAAAAAACAAAGAAGAGTATGATTATCTAGCTAGCACTCTTTTGACAACAAAAGCCCGAGGCTTGGCATATAACAGCATTACCCATAGCAGGAGGCAATCACTCAGCCAGTTCTGCACTTGTAAGAAATATTTTTGAGTCCAGGATTGAGACCATCATTATCATTCCCCTTCCATTCAGTGCTATCTGCTTCCAGAAATTTTAGAATGCTTAGCAAGAAATTCTTAAGAGGTATCCCAGTAAACATATGTTCAGCTGTTAAATTATTAACCTGGAAAATACATCTTAGATTCTCAAAGAAAATTCATCAAAATATTAAAGAATTTTAGTGTATTAGGGCAAAAAACCTTCCTCCAAGCATGATTCAGAAGCTGATCACAATTTGCATCATTATTTCAGAGGTGAAGCCTGTCACTGCAGGCCTTAAAAATTACCAACATCATCACATTATAAAAGACTGATGTGAAGTTATCTACTTAACCACTCAGTTACACAGTGCATCTTCTACTGATAATCATTTAAATTAATGTTGGAAGCTGGACAACTATTACAGTTACATGATTTGTTATACCTGAACATCTTTTGATACCAGTTAGTGAAACAGCAATGGCAGGGAACTAAATACATGCAATTAAAAGCTTAGAGTATTTGTTATGTGTTACATACATCTGTCCAACGATATTATGACCTTTTTTTTCGCTCCAAAATACACTGCATCTGAAAATCAGCTGTGTACAGCGAGACAACCAAATGCATTTGACATAAATACCATGAAGATATTAAGAGTTCAAGACAATTTCAGGAACAGAAACTCCAATCATGTTCACATAATATTTTCAGAATTCTGAAGCTCAAAACACTGTTAACCAAGAACTTTTTAATCTTCAATCAAAATCTTTGTGCATTTCTTAAACAACACTGCACCCAACACCCACCTCAGGGTGTATTCAGCAATACAATACCAAATAAAAAAATGCAGACGTTTCCTAACTCACTCACTGTGCAAGTTTTACTCTGCTATGCAGCTGAACTCCACCACAACTGTTCTCTCGCTCCACTCCTCAAAGGAAAAAGGGGAGAAAATATGATGAAAAGGGTGCAAGGGTTGAGATAAGGACAGGGAGATCATTCAGCAATTATCATCACAGGCAAAACAGACTCAGCATAGGGAGACTGATATAATTTATCGCCTATCACTAGCAGGCCAGAACAGAGAGAAACTAAAAGCAAACTAAAACCCTCTTCTGTGTCCTTCCCCCAAGCAGCAACATGGGGAATGGAGGTTGTGGTCAGTCCATAACGCTTCACCTCTGTCACTCCTTCATGGTCACTCTTCCCCTGCCCCAACATGGGGTCCCTCCCATGGGATGTAGTCCTTCCCAAACTGATCCTATATGGGCTTCCCGCAGGCAGCAGCTCTTCAAGAACTGCTCCAATATGGGTTTGTATCACAGGATCCACCCTTCAGGAGCAAACTGCTCCAACATGGTGTAGTGGGTTTACGTGGCAAGGTGTGGTGGTTTTACCGTGCTGGGCAGCTAAACCCCACAACCGCACAAGGTTTTGGTAGCAGGGGGCCATAGGGGTGGTTTCTGTGAGAAGGATCTAGAAGCTGCCCCATGTTTGGTAAGGGCCTCATTGTTTTCCAGATCTGAGCCAATAAGCAATGTTGTTTTGAGCCTCTGTGAGAGCATATTTAAGACAGGGAAAAAAAAGCTACGACACACAGCGGCTGGGAGAGTGAAAGGAGTGAGGAACGGCCTTGCAGGCGCCAAGGTCAGTGTAGAAGGAGGGGGAGAGGTGCTCCAGGCGCCGGAGCAGAAGTCCCCTGCGGCCTGTGGTGAGGACCATGGTGAAGCAGGATGTCCCCCTGCAGCCCATGGAGTACCATGGTGGAGCAGGGTTCCACGCTGCAGCCCATGGAGGAGACCACGGTGGAGCAGGTGGCCCTGCACCGATGGAGGCTGCCGCCTGTGGAAGACCCCTGCTGGAGCAGATTCCGGGCTGGACCTGTAGCCCGTGGAGAGGAGACCACGCAGGAGCAGGTGACCTGGCAGGAACTGCTGCCCGTGGGGGAGCCAGGTTGGAGCAGTTTGCTCCTGAGGGATGGACCCCATGGTATGGACCCATATCTGGAGCAGTTCTGGAAGAGCTGCTGCCTGTGGGAAGCCCACGCCGGATCAGTTCATCAAGGACTGTATCCCGTGGGTGGGACCCCACAGCACAGGGGACGAGAGTGACCGAGAAGGAGCAGCAGAGAAGTGCTGTAGACTGACCATAACCCCCGTTCCCCTGCGCCGCTCGGGGGGAGGAGGTGGAAGAGGGTGGATGGGGGAAGGGGGAAGGTGCTTTTGGTTTCTTTCCTTTGTTTCTCACTTCTCTAGCTTGTTAGTAATGAGCAATAAATCTTACTATCTTCTTATGCTGAGTCTGTTTTGCCCGTTACAATAATTACTGAGTGATTGTCTCATCCTTATCTCAACCTTTGAGCTCTTTTCACATATTTTCTCCCCATTCCTCTTTGAGGAGGGGGAGTGAGAGAGCGGCTGTGGTGGAGCTCGGCTGCCCACTCGAGCGGAACCACGACACATGGGTCCTCCACAGGTGGAAGCTCCCACCAGATCACCCGCTCCTGCACGGGCTCCTCTCCAAGGGCTACAGGTCTGGCCTGGAGCCTGCTCCTGAGGGGCTCTCCATGGGCCTCCTTCAGGTCAGGTCCACCTGCTCCACAATGGGCTCCTTCCACAGGCTGCAGCATGGAGATCTGCTCCGTCATCATACACCATGGGCTGCAGGGGGACTTCTGCTTCACCATGGGCCTCTCCACAGGCCATAGGGGAACCTCTGCTCCAGTGCCTGGAGCACCTCCTCCCTCTCTTTCTTCACTGACCTTGGTGTTTGCAGGGCTGTTTCTCACTCCTTGCTCTCCCAGCTGCTGTTGCACAGCAGGATTTCCCCCCCCCCCCCCCCTTTCTTAAATACGTTCTTACAGAGGTACAACCAACATCATTTATTGACTCGACTCTGGCCAGCGGCTGGTCCTTTTTGGAGCTGTCTGGAACTGTCTCTTCTCTAATATGGGGCAGCTTCTGGACTCTTCTCACAGAGGCCACTGCTGCAGATCCACGATATCAAGTCCTTGCCACGTAAACCCAACACACACATACAGTTAAGTTGTACAGTCCCATTACAGCAAATTTTATTTTTCCTGAAATAGAAACAGGGTCAGAAAAGTTAGTCTTACAAGCATTGCACAGTGGCACTGTTGTTTTTTGTTGATGTCTTTTTCATCTCTGAGTAACCCTTCAAGATCACTTTTTAAAAATATATATATATATATTTCAAACCACTCATAGATGTGTAATCACCTCATCCTGAATAAAACATTATTTACCTTCACACATACTACATAAGATAACTATGCTTATAGCTCTTTGGCGACAGGTAGCAGTGACAAATTATTCTCAGCGCATCAGCCAGGCACTGCATGAACTGATCCACAATGAAAGAAATCTGACATAATATTATATGCAGTATCATCATAGAAGGATTCTAGAATCATACAGTACAGAGCTTCAAGTTCTCAATTTCAAAGTAGAAGCAGTTTCTTTATATATGCATAAATCAAAATTGGGGGTTGGTCTGTTCTCCCACGTCCTGGTGACAGGACGAGGGGGAATGGGCTTAAGTTGCGCCAGGGGAGTTTTAGGTTGGATCTTAGGAAGAACTTCTTTACCGAAAGGGTTGTTAGGCATTGGAACGGGCTGCCCAGGGAAGTGGTGGAGTCACCATCCCTGGAAGTCTTTAAAAGACGTTTAGATGTAGAGCTTAGGGATATGGTTTAGTGGGGACTGTTAGTGTTAGGTCAGAGGTTGGACTCGATGATCTTGAGGTCTCTTCCAACCTAGAAATTCTGGGATTCTGTGAAAATATTGCTCCTATGACAAAACTAAGAACAGAGAACTTCTGGGTATCTAAGCCCTCCAATTAGAAAGGAAACAATCTGAGAGAAAGAACAAAGTTTTTCCATTAATCGCTTTGAAGGATGTCCTGGTTTCAGCTAGGACACAGTTATTTTTCCTCTAATATCTTATAAGAGGATATTTCAAGGACCCCAAAGAGTTGCGGTGGGATTTTGCAATAGTTGCCTTAAAGACAGAGGACATAAAAAATTTGTCTACCTTGCTCGGTCTTTCGAGGACCCTTCTGTTGTGGGGATGCTGAGGGTCAAAGAACAGCAAGTGCCAATCGCTACCACAACTGTGCACCGGCAGCAATATCGCACCAACCGAGACTCCCTGATTCCCATCCATGAGTTGGTTCACCGGCTGGAGAGTCAAGGAGCGATCAGCAAGACTCATTCACCTTTCAATAGTCCCATATGGCCAGTGCAAAAGTCTAATGGCGAGTGGAGACTAACAGTGGACTATTGTTGCCTGAACGAAGTGACGCCACCACTGAGTGCTGCAGTGCCGGACATGCTAGAACTCCAGTACGAACTGGAATCGGAGGCAGCCAAGTGGTACGCCACAATTGATATCGCTAATGCGCTTTTTTCCATCCCTCTAGCAGCAGAGTGCAGGCCACAGTTTGCTTTCACTTGGAGGGGCGTCCAATACACCTGGAATCGGCTGCCCCAGGGGTGGAAACACAGCCCTACCATTGGCCATGGACTGATCCAGTCTGCGCTAGAGCAGGGGGAAGCTCCTGAACACCTGCAGTACATCGATGACATTATTGTGTGGGGTGACACAGCAGAGGAAGTTTTCGAAAAAGGGAAGAAAATAGTCCAAATCCTTCTGAAGGCCGGTTTTGCCATAAAACAAAATAAAGTCAAAGGACCTGCACGAGAGATCCAGTTTTTAGGAATAAAATGGCAAGCTAATAACAGCTATGTCTCCACCAACTAGCAAAAAAGAAACACAAACTTTCCTAGGTGTCGTGGGGTTTTGGAGAATGCACATCCCAAATTACAGTCTGATTGTAAACCCGCTCTACCAAGTAACCTGTAAGAAGAATGAGTTTGAATGGGGCCCCAAGCAACAACAAACTTTGAACAGATTAAATGTGAGATACAGTAGCCCTTGGGCCAGTCTGAACAGGACCAGATGTAAAGACTGTGCTCTACACTGCAGCCAGGGAGAACGGCCCCACCTGGAGCCTCTGGCAGAAAGAACCTGGGGAAACTCGAGGTCGACCCCTGGGGTTTTGGAGTCGGGGATACAGAGGATCTGAGGTCTCCTACACCCCCACCAAAAAAGATATATTGGCAGCATATGAAAGAGTTTGATCTGCTTCAGAAATTGTCAGTACTGAAACAGCTCCTCCTGGCACCCTGACTGCCGGTACTAGGCTGGATATTCAAAGGAAGGGTCCCCTCTACACATCGTGCAACCCATGCTACATGGAGTAAGTAGTTTACTCTTATTACTCAGCTCTGATTATTCAGCGGGCTCAAATAGGAAACCCCAGTCGCCCAGGAATCTTGGAAGTGATTATGGACTGGCCAGAAGGCAAATACTTTGGGATATCATCAGAGGAGGAGGTAGTCTGTGCTGAAGAAGCCCCACTGTACAACAAGCTATCAGAAAATGAGAAGAAATATGCCCTGTTCACTGATGGGTCCTGTCGTATTGTGGGGCAAAATCGGAGGTGGAAGGCTGCTGTATGGAGTCCTACACGACAAGTTACAGAAGCTGCTGAGGGAGAAGGTGAATCGAGTCAATTTGCAGAAGTGAAGGCCATTCAGCTGGCTTTAGATATTGCTGAACGAGAGAAGTGGCCAGTTCTCTATCTCTACACCGATTCATGGATGGTAGCAAATGCCCTGTGGGGATGGTTACAGCAATGGAAGCAAAACAACTGGCAGCGCAGGGGCAAACCCACCTGGGCTGCTGCATTGTGGCAAGATATAGCTGCTTGGGTGGAGAACCTGGCTGTAAAGGTACACCACATAGATGCTCACATGCCCAAGAATAAGTCCACTGAAGAACATCAAAACAACCAGCAGGTGGATCAGGCTGCTAAGATTGAAGTAGCTCAGGTGGACCTGGATTGGCAGCATAAAGGTGAATTATTTATAGCCCGATGGGCCCGTGACACCTCAGGCCATCAAGGTAGAGATGCAACATACAGATGGGCTCGTGATCGAGGTTGGCGGACCTGACCATGACTGCTATTGCACAAGTTATTCATGATTTTGAAACATGTACTGCAATCAAGCGGTCAAAGCCTCTTTGGTATGGAGGATGATGGCTAAAATATAAATATGGAGAGGCCTGGCAGATTGATTACATCACACTCCCTCAAACTCGCAATGGCAAGCGCCACGTACTTACAATGGTGGAAGCAACCACCGGATGGCTGGAAACATATCCCGTGCCCCATGCCACAAGGCCCGAAACACTATCCTGGGCCTTGAAAAGCAAGTCCTATGGCGACATGGCACCCCAGAAAGAATAGAGTCAGACGATGGAACTCACTTCCGAAACAACCTTATAGACACTTGGGCCAAAGAGCATGGTATTGAGTGGGTGTATCACATCCCCTATCATGCACCAGCCTCTGGGAAAGTTGAACGATACAATGGACTGTTAAAGACTACATTGAAAGCAATGGGCGCTGGGACATTCAAAAATTGGGATACGCATTTGGCAAAGGCCACCTGGTTAGTCAGTACTAGGGGATCTGCCAACCGAGCTGGACCTGCCCAATCCAACCTGTTACGTACTGTAGAAGGGGATAAAGTTCCTGTAGTGCACATAAGAAACATGCTGGGTAAAACAGTCTGGGCTACTCCTGCCTCAGGAAAAGGCAAACCCATTCGTGGAACTGCTTTTGCTCAGGGACCTGGATGCACTTGGTAGGTAATGCAAAAGAATGGGGAGGTCCAGTGTGTACCTCAAGGGGATTTAATACTGGGTAAGAATAGCCCAGGAGTTGAATTGTATAATGTTAATTATTATATAATACTGTATGTCATCACTATCATGATTGCTATATGTCAATGTCCTATTAATGGTATCATAGTAACATACATGCAGATAATAATGAATGCATTTTGATAGAAATGGACAAACACAAAGATGTGATGGAACGAGAAGAAGCTTCAACCTACAGTGATCCAACATCACACACCATCTCTTCTGCCCTGAAAGACCGCTGTGACTGATGGAGCCCTAAGTCAGTCACGGACTATGCAAATTCAGTGGACATTCTATATACCATAGATTAAAGTGGTGATTAATTAGAAGGTATTAGAAAGTGTGCAACCTGAGCATGACATAAATGATACGGAATAAGGGGTGGATGTATGTCCTGGTTTCAGCTAGGATAGAGTTAATTTTCCTCCTAGTAGCTGGTAGGGTCCTATGTTTTGGATTAGGATGAGAAGAGTGTTGATAACATGCTGATGCTTTAATTGTTGCAGAGCAGTGCTTACACTAAGCCAAGGACGTCTCAGCTTCTCCCTCTGTCCTGCCCACGGGCAGGCTGGGGGTGCAGCAGGAGCTGGGAGGGGACACCCAGGACAGCTGACCCAAGCTGGCCAAAGGGGTATTCCATACCATCTGACGTCATGCTGAACAATATATGGGGGGGCTAGCTGCTGAGGGATAGGCTGAGCATTGGTCAGCAGGGGTGAGCAATTGCATTGTGCATCACTTGCTTTGTACACATTAGCAGTAGTAGTAGTATCATCATTATTCTTTTATTTTCTGTCCTAATAAACTGTCTCTATCTCAACCCACAGGCTTCATTTTCCTGATTCTCTCCCCCATCCCAGAGAGGGAGGGGGGAGGGTGAGCAAACGTCTGTGTGGTGTTTAGCTGCCGGCCAGGTTAAACCACAACAAAGGATAGCAGACAAGTTGTAATATACTGCCCTCCAGAAAGATTAGTTTAGTGTACTAATCTTCTTCTTTTTTTTTTTATTGTTATTGAATACAAGATTTGCCCGAGTTATTAACATATATGAACACATTCTGCAGAAAGAAAAAGAAACTACTGAGAAGCACTGGAGAATGTAGTACTTGGAGCAACTTTTTACATTTCAAAAGGTAATTCCTTTCCTACATTTAGAGATGCAAGACCATGCCTTAACAGTCTGGTTATAGCCAAATAAAACATAGGTTACAGGTTACATTCAGCTTGAAACCTCACTCCTCTTTCTCCCAGCAGCCGTTGCACAGCAGTTTTTTTCCCTTTCTTAAATATGCTCTTACAAAGGCTCAACCAACATAGATTCAATTGCTGGATCTACAACACATATGAAGAACATTACCTTCTCTCGCCCAGCATGATTTTCATCTTCGTGTTCTTCCACTCTTTGTTTCAATGCTTTCAAAAATTCACTCTTCTTATCAGTCCGCATTCTTGTCAACTTTGTTAAATGAGGCTGACCAACTTTGTCAACAGGGGATGAAGAATTTGACTGATTACACTAATGTAGGGGGTGAGGAAAAAAAAAGAAAAAAGACTTAGAAGCACAATTGTTGAAATTTTTCTAAATGAAAGACAAAACCCCTTTCAAGAACCTGTAGTTTTGGGTTGCATGTATATCCACAGTCAAAAGCAGAGGAAAGACATCCATATTCCAGTATATATGGTTCTTACATGTAAATAGAGATGCAGGTTTATGGAGCACTGCTAAAAAAACAGTTGACCTTCTGAAGTATATTAGCAGTTTTTAAATTTTAAACCTAACAAGTTATACATACTAGTGCACCATTTTTTACTCTAAATCAAGCCTACAAAGCAAATTATACAGTAGTACTTAAAGGCAGTGAGGTACCTACCTTTCACATTACCCTCTCTCACATTAACTTCTAGAAAACAAACTTATTAAATACAATTCTCCATAAGTTTTATTGATCTACTTATCTAACCAAACAATTTAAAAAAATGATATATTAGAACTACAAGCATTATTTTACCTCTTTCACTGAATTCTGTGATACAGGAAATGCCTTGTTGTTCGATTTGAAAGGACTGAAATTGCCAATACCATATGTAGATTCATGAGAAAATGGAATCCCAGTTTTATTTTCTTTTGCTTGGCTTTTCCACTGCGTAGTCTAAACAAAAATTAAAGAATCATCAACTACAATAGAATTATTTTCAGGCATCTTTAGAAAACTGATCAAGGAAAAGCAAACCATACCAACAACCATAATTTAGTCCAAACACCTGTTTTCTGTAGGACCAACTGTTTATGAGCAATTAATCCTTTCATAAATAGCTTACACTTTTTATATAAAGAGCTAAATTTAAGAACAATTAAGATCATCATATGTCATGTATTAAGAACTAAAATATGAGTTTTTAACAGCTGAAAATAATTATAAAAGGGTTATAGTAAATAGGATTACATCAGGCTGGCAGCCAGTCACTGGTGGGGTTCCCCCAGAGTCCCATTTTGGGGCCAGTTCTCTTTAATGTTTTCATAAATAACATGGACATAGGACTCCAATGCATTCTACACAAGTTTGCAGACAACACTAAATTGGGAGGAGCTGTTGACTCCCTCAAGGGTAGAGAGGCCTTGCAGAGAGATCTTGACAAATTAGATGGCTGGGCAATCACCAACCAACAGAATTTTAAAAAGGGCAAGTGTCAGATTCTGCACCTGGGATAGGGCAGCCCTGGATATGTGGACAGACTGGAGGATAAAAAGCTGGAGAGCAGCCCCACAGAAAGAAAAGTGGGGGTTTTGGTCAATGCCAAGTGAATGAGTCAACAGTGTGCCCTGGCAGATAGAAGGGCCAACTGTACCCTGGAGTTCAAGCACAACATTGCTAGCCAGTCCAGAGAAGTAACCGTCCTGCTCTACTCTGCACTGGTGCAGCCTCACCTCAAGTACTGTGTGCAGTTTTGGGCACCACAATATAAGACAGACATAAAACTATAAGTGAATGTCCAAAGGAGGGCTACAAAGATGGTGAAGGGTCTAGAGGGGAACCAAGCCTGCCAAGTTCAAGCATTTGGACAATGCTCTCAGACATATGGTTTCATTCTGGGGTGGTACTGTATGGAGCCAGGAGTTGGACTCTATGATCCTTGTGGGTCCCTTCCAACTCAGTGTATTCTAAGATTCTATGATAATATTTTCAATACTTTAAGTTCTAGAGTTATAAACAGCTCTATCAGGTGCTCTTAGGAGCACATGAAAAATTCCTGAAACAAAAATCAAAAGATGAACATGGAAAGTTGCATATGGAGAGGGACCAAAAATGGCACTAAGAGGTTGCAACATCGTCTATATCAATAATTGGAATAAATTCTGAAGGTGTTTTTATGCCAACTATAGCTCCCAACTTGGTATCTCTTTTTCTGTTAAAAACATATACAGAAAAAGCATTACTATTCCATAAATTAAAAACATTCTTTTCATTCTCACTTGGATGCTTCTTGCACTTCTCAAAAAAAAAAAAAGGTAAATAAGAAATAAAGGAAGTTTCAGTTACAGTATAATTTTAAAAGAAAAATGAGAAAGTGTTTCCAGTCAACTTTGGGGCATATAGCACTTGAGGTATGCAAGACTTGAAAGCATACTCTAGGAACAGAATTCTCAGGGGTGAAATGAGCACATTCAGAATTAGAGCTCCCCCCACTCCCACCCCGGCTTGTTATTCATGCCACCAGTATCCAAAACTCACCTTTGCGGGTGGAGTGGCAGGTTTAGGGACTAATCCTTTATAAACACTTGTGCCAGTTCCATTTTTTACTGGCTGTAAATGAAGACTTCCTAGTAGAGGGAATCCAGATATTTGCAGTTCTTTTGTACTGCCCTTTTTAATGACCAGCATTCTTGAAGATCTAGATTTGGGATTCAAGGGATACTCTGGAAAAAGAAAAATATGTGCATATGTATATAGCCTTAAGTTTCTACTTCATAGGTTACTGAACAGCCATATGGTCCAGAACAAACAGGCATAAAGCAAAAACTTAGTCCAGAGCTAGGTTTCACAAATAACACACTGTTCAAAACTGGATAAAAAAAGGTTCTGTTCCACTTTCTACAACCATTGTTTGTAAAATATTTCACTTGGCACTGCAGGAATTTTACTTTCAGAAAGATATTCTTTGGTCAAAGAACTAGCTATACAGCTTTTGTTTGCAAATCTAAACACCAAATGCTATTAGTTGTTAATAATTATCTTCAAAAGATATGGTTTTCATATTTCCTTTTAAGGTTACTAAAGAATTATTACTCATAATAATTAACAGCTCACTTTAGAGTCAATGTTCCATAAAGTCCTTTATAAACATCACTTCTTATCAGAAGTGATGCATACTATTCCAGATCATGGCAATGACCAATTTCTATCTCCATGCCTAAGATGTCTATAACAGAACATCTGAACCCTACACCTTTTCCAGGTTCAAGACAGTACTAATTAGAAACATACAGTCAGCTGTCATACTAAATAACTGACATTTGACAGTTTTCAAGAGCAGCTATTAAAAATAGTTTAAAATTTCTAAAAAGTGGGAAAAACTATTTTTGCACATGCCCTCCAATCTTGCATCAACAACCTTTTCCAAGATTATCTTCTCCCCCTGCAAGTGTTTCTAATTCATGGTCAGTCACCATATCCTACATTTAAAAAATAAAACTATCTTAAAAGCATAAATTACTTTAGTTTTGTTTAGCAGGTAAACATTACACTTGTAATAAAGTTAAATGAGAAATAAGTACAAAGTTATGAAATACATTTTCATAATACAAGCATGCTCTCATCCCAGGTACACAAGATAAAATGTAATCTAAAAGTATCCTTTTTTTTTAAACAAGCATTTAAAGGGAACAGCAACATTCTTGAATACTGCATTTCCTTTTATAGGGAATAAAGAGACTTAATTTCAGTTTTTCAACTACAAAATGAGATTTGCAATAGCCAAGCTATAATAAAGATATCACACTGTAAGCTGTAACAAGCCACTGCACTGTAGTTTACAGAACCTATTTAACTAACAGAACTGTTCTTTCCTTTGCTTGTGAAGCAATACCTAAAAAGCCTGGAATCAAGAATCTGATCAACCTGAGCTACATTATGCAGCAGCCAGAGTGCTTCAAACATGATAAAACACTCAAGTTGCTATAGAAATAAAATTAGCTACTGTTACACTTTTATTGAAAGTTAAATATTTCTTGACTTTCACATTAAAGCTACTAAATACACAAGAATGGAAAGTAGTCCAATTTTTTAAGACTACTGCAAAAGTTCTTCGCAATTCTGTAAAACTAGACATAGGCCACCCCTTTCTAAATAAATACCTAACAGCACAAAACGTGCTGGGGAAGTATGAGAATAAGAGTCAGCAAATTAAAGTACCACTTAAAATGAGCAGCAAGATTCAGATCTCATTACTAGTAACAGTTCAAATAGTAGCTTTCATGTTATTTAAATTCGCCCTCATTCTGAGTAAATTCTGAGGCACTCTACAAGCAGCTGGTGGAAGTCACGAAATCACCAGCACTCACTCTCGCGGGGGACTTTAACTTCCTGGACATATGCTGTAAATACAACATAGCCCAGAGGAAACTATCAAGGAGGTTTCTGGAGTGCATGGAAGACAGCTTCCTGACTCAGCTAGTTAGTGAGCCTACTGGGGGGTCCCCTGCTAGACCTGCTGGTCATGAACAGAGAAGGACTGGTAGGAAATGTGGTGGTTGGGAGTTGTCTTAGGCAGAGTGATCACGAAATGGTAGAGTTCTCTATTCTTGGTGAAGTCAGGAGGGGGGTCAAGACAGTAAAACTGCTACCTTGGACTTCCGGAGGGCAGGCTTTGAACTGTTCAGGACACTGGTAGGGAAGGTCCCTTGGGAGTCAGTCCTGAAGGGCAGAGGGGTCCAGGAAGGCTGGACGCTCCTCAAGAAGGAACTCTTAAAGGTGCAGGAGCAGGCTGTCCCCGTGTGCTGTAAGATGAGCCGGTGGGGAAGACCGGCAAGGCTGAAGAGGGAACTTTTGCTGAGTATCTGGGAGAAAAAGAGAGTTTATGTCCGGTGAAAGAAGAGACAGGCAGCTCGGGGAGAGTACAAGGAAGTTGCCAGCATATGCAGAGAGAAGATCTGAAAAGCTAAAGCCCAGCATGAGCTCAACCTGGCCACTGATTAAGGAAAACAAAAAATGTTTTTACAAATATATTAAAAAAGACAAGAAGAGGACCAAGGAGAATCTCCATCTTTTACTGGACGCAGGGGGAACATGACTACTGAGGATAAGGAAAAGGCTGAGGTTCTTAATGCCTTCTTTACATCTGTCTTTACTAGCCAGACCACTTATCTTCCGAGTACTCAGCCTCCTGACCTGGAAGCCTGGGACGGGGAGCAGAAGAACACCCCCCCCCCCCGCCAAAGTTCAGGTGGAAACAGACCTGCTGCTACACCTGGACTGCCACAAGTCCATGGGGCCAGAGGGGATCCACCCAAGGGTGCTGAGGGAGCTGGCGGATGCAATTGCCAAGCTGCTTTCCATCATCAGCGGTCATGGTCATCCAGAGATGTCCCAGATGGCTGAAGACTCACTAATGTGACACCCATCTATAAGAAGGGTCATAAGGAGGAACCAAGGAACCACAGGCCTGTCAGCTTGACCTTGGTGCCAGGAAAGATGATGGAGCAGGTCATCTTGAATGCAATCACACAGCATATGCGGGACAACCAGGGAAACAGGCCCAGTCAGTAAGGGTTCGTGAAAGGCAAGTCCTGCCTGACCAACCTCATCTCCTTCTATAAACAGGTGACCCACCTGGTGGATGAGGGAAAGGCTGCTGATGTAGTCTACCTAGACTTCAGCAAGGCCTTTGACACGATCTCCCACAGTATTCTCCTGGAGAAGCTGGCAGCCCATAGCTCGGACAGGTACACTCTGTGCTGGGTTAAAAACTGGCTGGACAGCTGGGCCCAGAGAGTGATGGTGAATGGAGTGAAATCCAGCTGGCGACCGGTCACCAGCTGGATTATTCCCCAGGGGTCAGTGTAGGGGCCCATCCTCTTCAATATCTTTATTGATGATTTGGATGAGGAAGTGGAGCGCACCCTCAGTAAGTTTGCAGACGACACCAAGTTGGGGGGAAGTGTCGATCTGCTGGAGGGTAGGAAGGCCCTGCAGAGGGACCCGGACAGGTTGGGTTGATGGACAGAGGCCAGTGGGATGAGGTTCAACATGGCTAAGTGCCGGGTCCTGCACTTCAGTCACAACAACCCCATGCAGCACTACAGGCTTAAGGCAGAGTGACTCAAAATCTGCGCAGAGGAAAAGTATCTGGGGGTATTGATCAGTGCTCACCTGAACATGAGCCGGCAGTGTGCCCAGGTGGCCCAGAAAGTTAATGGCATCCTGGCTTGTATCAGGAACAGTGTAACCAGCAGGACCAGGGAGGTGATCATCCCCTTGTACACTGCTCTGATGAGGCCGTACCTCGAGTACTATGATTAGTTTTGGGCCCCTCACTACAAGAAGGACATGGAGACCCTGGAGCATAACTAGATAAAGGCTACGAAGCTGGTGAAGGGTCTGAAACATAAGTCTTATGAGGAGCAGCTGAGGGAAGTGGGGTTGTTTAGTCTGGAGAAGAGAAGGCTCAGGGGAAACCTTATTGCCACATTCTTAGTGAACAATTCTGTATCAAAAGCCCACTTTCAAGAAAAATATGGCTATCATTTTACAGTACTAATCAGGTGGAGATGAGAAAGTTATCCCAGACTACAGTTCAGTTCAGTGCCCACTCTTAGGGTTGGCTTCGTTACAAGTAATTCATCAACACACAGATCAGCTCAGGAAATTTGCTTCCAGGAAGAGACCTTAAGTCTTTGCAAGCTAACCTGCTCATTCCAGCCCTGCTAGGTTTTTCTCCCAGCTCTTTAACTATTCTAATCAGTCAGAAGCATTCTTTCATGAAGTCTTCAACTACCAATCACATCACTAGTTTAGGTGACCCATCTTTGTGACATTTCCTCTTGGTAGATAAATTCTTGACATCTTTACAAAAAGATACATACTTGTTCTGGGACAAGAACCCTAGCAGTGGTTGTATCTACAGACCAGACTGATATTCAAATAGAAGCATTACCTCTCTTATAAAGAGATACTCACACTGTAATAACACTGAGGAAATTTCCTCAATTTCCATCTATATATTTGAAATATTCTAAAATAAATTATGTTTCTAATAAAACAACTTCAAATCTATACTATATTTTTATATTTAAGAACATCAACAATACTCACCCCACACACCTGCAGCTAAAGACTTATTCTGGTTTGGTTCCCTCTCATATTCAGGATTCAAAGATGGCTGAAAGGAAAGTTTATCATTATTTAAAACAAAATGAAAGAAGTCTTGAATTCTAGGACCAATGAAATAAAGAACAACAACAATATCAGAAGTATAACCTCTGCTGTCCAAGACTTTTAAATGGAGACAGACTAGAAACTGCCCTCTGCAAACCCAAATATACCAATGGTCACTTGCTTCTCTTCAATAAAACATCTCTGGGCTCACCGGTACAAAAAAGACAGGGATCTCCTGGAAAGAGTCCAGCAGAGGGCCACAAAGATGATAGGGGGCCTGGAGCATCTCCCCTATGAGGAAAGGCTGAGAGATCTGGGTCTGCTCAGCCTTGAGCAAAGAAGACAGAGGGGGATCTTATTAATGTTTATAAATACCTTAAGTGTGGGAGACAAAGGGATTTGGCCAACCTCTTTTCAGAGGTTTCTGGGGACAGGACAAGGGGCAATGGCCACAAAACGGATCACAGGAAGTTCCGCACCAACATGCAAAAGAACTTCATGGTGAGGGTGATGGAGCACTGAAACAGGCTGCCCAGGGAGGTTGTGGAGTCTCCTTCTCTGGAGATATTCGAGACACGTCTGGACGCCTACCTGGGCAACCTGCTGTAGGGAACCTGCTTTGGCAGGGGGTTGGACCCAATGATCGTTTGAGGTCCCTTCCAACCCCTACAATTTTGTGATTCTGTGATCTCAAGCAGCAGTCAATACCATTATATAAACTATCTGAAGAAAGCCAAAAACAAACCAAAAAAAAAAAAAGTGATGTGTGGTTCTTCAAAGAGGGAGTTTATCCTTCCTCTTATATCCTAAAATTGTAGGTTGAAACGTGAAACCTCAAAGGACCAGTGGCAGAATAACTTTGTTAGTACTTTAAATTTCCAGTAAGGTATGTATTAAATTCTACACAATTACACGTGACACAGTTTACTGTGGCAAAATACTATTAAAAAAATCAACTTAGAACCCCACTGTAGTTTCACTTAAACATTTAAGTGACAATAATAAACATACAATGATAAAAATGGAGATGAAAAGAGAAAAAAGCTGACAAATAACTAACACCCCCTTAAGGGTGATCCCTTACATGATAACCTGTAACTGGTGAAATCTCATGAAGTAGCTTGTAATGGACAAAATGGAACTTGCAGAAACAATAGAATCTCGTTTATTACAATTAACTTACAAAATCCTCAGCCTCAAACTGTTTAGGTACTTCCTTGTCTTCCTTTTTCCCAGTGTCATTATCAGGTACATTGTTTTCATGCAGTCCTTGGATTTTTCCACAGTGGGAAGTGCTGGTATGAGCACGGGAACCTCCGCCATGGTATCCCCCACGATAGTTTATATTTTCTGTACCATTTCTGCCTTGTGAACGCCAACCATTCTTCTCTTTTCTTCCAAAATGCCCTTAGATTTTTAAGTTTTAAAGAAATGTAATAACAGCCAGTTTTGGAAGAACATTCTACTTTTACAAAATTGTTAGAGGAGTCAAGCAAGCAGCCCCGTACTCTGGGATGTGATAGCATAGTGAACTTATTCATATAAGCAGTAGGGAAGAATCTCATAAAACAGTTCTAGAGAAAGAGGATTGTAGTCCAACATTAAGACTACTCAACCCCTTTGCCTGGCTACTCATTTATATGTCATTAGCTAGAAAATTAAGAATAAGAATGAGTTAAGATAGAAATACACCTGGAATCGCATTACTCTGGCTAACCCTTACTCATCACATTATTGTCTCCCAGATGATCCATCTTTCCATCACCTCTAATGTCACTACAGAACACAACATTTAGCATAGGACAACTATTATCATCTTTTTTTTTCCTAGCCAGTGCTACACATCAGTGATGTAAAAGCATTCCATGAAAGCTAAATTATACCTCCATAATGTCGTCCAACGTTAGAATCAAGCCCATCTGAGGAGTTGTGTCTTCTGCGATTTACTTCATAATGATTCTCTGTCCACAAAATGTTTTCAGAATGTCTCTCAAAGTTCAGTGATGACTGTAAAGGAGCAAAAGTAGTAGACCTGAGATATCTGATTAATAACAAAACTGAATTATCAGAACCGTAACATGCATTACTCATGGTATATTTGAGACATTTTAAAAATGACTTTGACAGACAATACAGTAACTCTCAAGTATGCACGTGTTCATCACCTTTCATGCCAGCAGAAGTGGAAGCTGTATCTTCCACTCCAGGACACCGAAACAGTGTTGAGGACCATGCTTGCGACACAAGGTAAAAAAAGTCAAGTGTTTATTCTGCTTTGGCAGCAGAATGAAGACAAGTGTCACGTGTTGCAGCAGAGGGAGAAAAAAAAAAGGTAAGAAAGGACACGAGAACATAATTTGGAAGGCAGGATATTTCAATATCTGGGATCTTAGTTTGGGTTGTCAGAGACCACACATGCATTGCATGAAACACATCAGGAGGTAAGGCCAAAGCTGTACAATTGTTCCAAACACTGTAGTTGTTACCCCTTGTCTCCATGCCATAAGCCCCTAAACCCTGCTTAGCAGTGTCATTATAATCACAGATGTTATTTGTATTTCTGTACCCGTATGGCCCTTTCCAGGTTCCTGTAGCAGGATTCATCTGATATCCACGGCTACATTCACATTTGTGGCCACCTTTCAGGTTGATACAGATTTGACTTCAGATACCAGGGTTTTGACATTCATCAATATCTCCACAGTTTCTCTTGTCTACAAACTCAAACCCAGCTGGACAGTCACATTCATGTATGTTGCATTCCTTCAGGGGCTCATCACCCCAGTCCTTGCAGTCTCTCTGCTGGTTACACACTTTATTGATATCTATGCATTCTCCACTTCTGCACTTGAATTTGCCAGGTCCAGAGCACTGCATACAGTTTGCTTCATCAGTGCCATCCAGGCAGTCTCTCACACCACTGCACTGCCTACTCCCATGTTCCCAGTTCCCATCTTCACACCTGAACTGGTCTGGCCTGCAGGTCCGAGAAGGGCAGTTAATTTCATCACTTCCATCCTTGCAATCAGGATCTCTGTTACAGTCTTTTTCACCATCACATTTCCACGACACTGGGATACACTGGGTTGACTGAGGACCACAGCTGATTTCATTTACCTGGCATGTTCTCATATGACACAGCTCAGCACTCTTGTCAGACCCATTTTCACAGTCCAGATCCCCATCACGCTGCCATCTGTTTGGCACACACTGACCACTGTTGCACACAAAGTCAGATTCAGCACACATCTTCTTCACACAAGCACTCTCATCACTGCCATCTGAGCAGTCTTCACATTTTACTCTAGCACTGTCGGCAGCAGTGCACAGGCAGGCGAGGGCGAGCAGCAGGCAGAGTGCCCCACAGCGCGGCAGCGCCCGCCACTGCTTCACACCTGTGTCACTTATACTACTCCTATAACCCATGCTGTTAGTGTCAGTGGCATCCTCCTGGTACCATTTCTGTCTTTGTCGCCCCTTACTCTCCCCCTTTTCTTTTTGCCACTGACCATTCACCACAAATGGATAAGACACATGATTACTAGTTAGGAAAGAGAGTGTAACGTCTGCTATACGGCTGCAGGCAGTGCCAGCTGCAACCTTAGAAGCTGTTTGTGAAAGAGCCTGCCGGTGGTCATTTGGCAGTGTAATCTGCATCTCTGCACTCCTGCCCCGCAATAGAGCTAAGTCGTCATTAGTAATCCGTAGAATGTGGCAACCCCACGGAACGTTATCCAGAAACATAGTTATAACACCGATCTGGGGACGAATAGTCTTTTTTGCATTGCAAGATAAACCTCTTATAAAAAGAATGCCAGAGAGAAGCAGCACAGCCGCCGCTGCTTCCATGGTTACGTCTGACAGGCTGCAGGGTCCTGATGTCCGCCCCTCTACTCTGTGCCGACTCGCCACACGGTGAGGGTCGGCTGCCATTGTCCACTGACGCCTCTGGTCTCCCGTAGCAACTCGATCTCGGATGTCCCACGTCACACCGCGATTACCTCAATTTCCCGCGTCCCTGCACGGCTCCGTTTCCCGCGTCCTCCCACAGCTCCGTTTCCCGCGTCCCTCCGCGGCTCCGTTTCCCGCGTCCCCCCGCGGCTCCGTTTCCCGCGTCCCCCCGCGGTTTCTTGCCCCGCGTCTCACCGCGAGGCCGTTGTTCAGGTCGGTGTGTAGAGTGTTTCAACGTCTCTCAGGTGTTCCGGCATCTGCCAGGTCTGTCCGTGTCTCTCGTAGTTGGCCGTAGCCCTGCAGCGTCAGTCAGTGCTCTCTCCGTGCGGTGGTAGGCTTTCCGTGTGCCTCAGGTCTCCCGGCGCCGCTCCAATCTCCCGGCACCGCTGCGATCCCTCTGCCTGTTCGGGTCTCAGCGACTCCGGGTCTCGGCCTGTGCGGGCGCCATATGTTGCAGGAAGAACGGTCGAAAGCACGACAGACACCAGTAGAGTCAGATCATGCTCCATTTTATTGCCCAAATAGCCTAACTTTTATAGTGAACTTAACAGGGGCGGACAGTGTTTCACACAAGATTATTGGTCAAAAGCATTCAGACAAACTACAAGAAAACAACACCCTTGTGATTAGCAGTCACATAGACCTTGTCCTTGAAGCCAGCTACTGGTAACAATATTTTTCTGAATTCCTCAATTGGGCGATGTGGGAACACTGTCATGGGAACTTCTCATAGTTGCCCTGGTAGCATGGTTTGCTCAGCTACAGCAAGCCATGGGATTTTTGCTGTTTCAAGAAATCCCTCAACAACAGTCAAAAGTATAGATTCACAAATATACTTCAAGTTATCAACTTATAAGTAGGAATTATAGATTTTTTAAAGTAAATCTTTAATATACCAGTAGGAAATACATTTCTTTCGCTACTACACCTTAAAATTTCAAGAATAACTTTTCTTTCTGCAAAAATAATGCTGTCTTACTGTTCTACGTGCCACACATCTCCCAATAACAGCAAAAAGTTTCCCCTTCCCTCCAGCACCAGACTTACTATGCACTGAGCCCTCTGTATTGCGCGTGTGCAAGAAATCAAACATTCCCTAGTGCCCTAATAGCTGGGCATTTTTGCTTTTGTAGCTATGTGAAAAATGTACTACGTGAGCAAAATAAGTTTAGCAGTTCTTGGGAGTATTAGCTTCACTACACAAAAGTATTGATTTTGCTGCCTGAAGCTTATTCCTGAGAAAAAACCCTCCCCCTCCCACTCCTCAGTCTACTCCCTAAAAGACAGCAGTAATGGCTTATTCACATAATATTTGTAAACACATAACAAATCATGATCCATAATATACCAGTTGCTATTCTTACACATTCTGAGTTGAGACAGAAAAGGCAAAACACTATTCTGATAGCAGCAAGACTAGGATAAAATAATTAATTAATTATTTATATATATATAAAAAATTGCATTCTGCCTTAATCTAGACCTCAGTAATGAACTGCTATCCCCAAAGAATCATTAGAAACTTCTGTAAGTTCTAGTTACCCTTCTGTTGCATTTTAAACCAGCCATTCGCTTACACGCCCCACGGGCCCACAGTGGGATTGATTTTAGGCTCCCTCCATCATAATGGTCCTTCTGGATAGTAGAGATGGTACTCTCTAGAGTAGAGATGTAGTGTTGGATTGTTGCATGCTAAAGCCAGTTCTGGTAACATCACCACTTCACTTCTCTGGTTCCATCAAGATTCATTCTTCATTAATCTAGGCTACTTCCTGTAATACCACTGTATTGTGGTTTAACCTGGCAGGCAGCTAAGCACTAAGCTCTACATCTAAATGCCTTTTAAAGCCCTCCAGGGATGGTGACTCAACCCCTTCCCTGGGCAGCCCATTCCAGTGCCTAACAACCCTTTCGGTAAAGAAGTTTCTCCTAATATCCAAACTAAACCTCCCTTGGTACAACTTTAGCCCATTTCCCCTCATCCTATCACCAGGCATGTGGGAGAATAGACCAATCCCCACCTCGCTACAGCCTCCTTTAAGGTACCTATAAAGAATGATAAGATCACCCCTGAGCCTCCTCTTCTCCAAGCTAAACAACCCCAGCTCCCTCAGCCGCTCATCGTAAGACTTGTTCTCCAGACCCCTCACCAGCTTCGTCGCCCTTCTCTGGACTCGCTCAAGCACCTCGATGTCCTTCCTGTAGTGAGGGGCCCAAAACTGAACACAGTACTCGAGGTGTGGCCTCACCAGAGCCGAGTACAGGGGGACAATCACTTCCCTAGACCTGCTGGCCACACTGTTTCTGATACAAGCCAGGATGCTGTTGGCCTTCTTGGCCACCTGAGCACACTGCTGGCTCATATTCAGCTGACTATCAACCAATACTCGCAGGTCCTTCTCCAACAGGCAGCTTTCTAACCACTCATCTCCCAGCCTGTAGCACTGCTTGGTGTTGTTGCGCCCCAAGTGCAGGACCCAGCACTTGGCCTTGTTGAATTTCAGTTTTCTCTTCCTTTCCTGTCCTATTAAACTGTATCTCAACCCATGAGCTTTTACTTTTTCTTCCTGATTCTCTCCCCCATCCCACTTGGGGGGGAAAATTAACTGCCTGCTGGGTTAAACCACAACATAGTTCCAGACCTGAACTAAAGCTGCCCTGCTGTGGCTACCCAGCTTTATATCACCTCCCTATCACTTATTTATCAAAAGCTTCACCTTAAAAGGAAACCAGGAGAAATAGGTGAATTGAATTTTAATATAGATGTAATTCATTTCAGTCACATTATGAGAGTTCATTCACATTCCCAGATTCCTTGTATCAGGTTTTTCTAATACTAACCTTTACCTACATGTGGGAAAGCCTCAGCTACGCGGCACTGAGAGGGAACCATACTCCTGAAGATACGGTTCATAAAGGGGCCTCTTCAGGGAAACATGTCAGAATTCAGTTTCTCCTTTTCCAATCTAGATGTTGTTGATACCACAGCTTCATCCCAGCCCCATTCTGCATGAAACATGAGATGCCTTCCCTTCTTTCTTCATCTCCATCCCTCTTATCTGGCTCTTTTCTTCAGCTGCCTTGTTCAGATATGGGAAGCAGAAACAAACACCTATTCTAGGAAGTGTTGGGGGGGGGGGGGGAGCACGCAGGGGGCCACAACATTTGAGATCTTTCTTGTGAAGGAAGGACAGAACAAGCCTTATGACGTAAATTAGGAATTACTACACATGGGTAGGACCAAAAAGACTAAGTGCTTAATATCCAAACGGGCTGTGTATCACAAAATGCTCATCACTAAAGGAAGAGGTAACATGAGGAAATAAGCTGCAATACAGACAATGAAGCACAAGGACTGTAACAGAGAAAGCATGCAACTACAAAGCTTTTGGAAGAAATGAAAGTTTATCTAAATTCCTTCAGGTAAAGATTCATGGAAGACAGATGTTTGAAATGAAGCTTTGCACAATTCAGGAAGGAGGCAACAAAGAAACCTCACACCTCAGATATATTTGAATAGTACTTGGGCAATGCTGGAACTTGCTTTTATCATGCTGTACTGGCATTTTAAGTATGCAGGTAAGTCCCTTCCAGCAGATTCATGAAACACACAGATAAAATCGTTTTATAATTGGGACGCTATATTAAATTAAGCTCTAATTACTTTTCCTACTGAAAGTGTATTACATTAGAAAAAGCAGATCAAAGAGTTGAATATCTCAGAAATCAAGCAGATTAAAAACATACAGATCTCAGGAACAGATGAGCCTAACATTCCCGTAATAGCAATTGACAGTTGCTGATGGACTACAATAAACAAGCTAGCTAGTTCAGCATAGAAGATAAATAGAGCAGTAAAAATATTCAGTGACCTGAATAAAAGTTCATGCATGCATGTGTGTGCAGATACATAAGTAAAGCAATGGAGTCAACTAATACTGACTGCTGACTATGCACTGAACAATAGCACAAGCTCATTTCCAAAGTTTATAAAGGCTAAATATTTTCCATTGACATGAAGACAGCAAGAAACTTAAATACATTAAAGCAAGGCAATACCACTCTCATAGCTGTAGATACAGATACTGCATTCAAAAAGATTAGAACAAAGAAGGAAAGAAGGTAGGTCTACAAATAGAAAAAATAAAACAGATAATAGGAGTCTGAAATATCCAGTGCTGCCTTTGCTTCTGCATTCACACAAATTAGGAAGGAGTAGGATATGCCAGGATAAAAAACAAAAACATTTATACAAGAAACATATTCAAGACCTTCTGAATCCTTGTTTTCCAAGTATTCTAGGGACCGCTATTTCTTGTTCTCAAGCTAACTTTTCCATTTCATAAATGAAGTAATCGTAGTCTAGATGGAACAGCCAACAGTGAGGGTGCACAACTATTTGAAAGCACCACACACTACCACCAGTAACTGATGACACATTTCAGAAGGTCTATTTTCAAAAGCATTTTTTTAATCACTTGGATGATGGAATAAGAAAAAATATTCTCTAAAATGTATAGGACAAAGCAAAATCAGAAGCAAGAACATCAAGCACATACCTCTCAGTTTTTCCAGCAATACAATAATTCATTTTGAGCTACTGATGAAGGAAATTTTAATCTAACAACAGCTCTGGCAATGTGTCCGCATTCTTCTTTCCTTGAACTCAGGTGCTCAAGCAGAAACCCCCTACTAGAGATATGAGCTTGAGAACCAAGGTTCAACTATTTAAATCATGACAGCAAGACTTGATATATATCATCTGTTATCACCCTTACCATATTTATTATGTTTTATTATTATTTTTATTATGATTGATGTTATGACATTTAGACTTCTTTAATATTGAAGCTGCCTGATCAGAACAGCAAAAACATACCTTTGTTGATGATGGTGGAGTAGGAAAATTAAGCCAGGCTGGAGCAAAGTCATGCTGCGCCATTTAGGTCCAGTCTCTCTGAATCAATGAGACAAGGCTTCAGCACCCCATGGCAAGTCCCTGTAATTGGAAAAACAAGATAAACATCTAAAAAGTACTCATTTCAAGAACATTATGCTTGTGGTATAATCACTACCTCCTTTCTGTTGTCTGGTATTGTTGTCTCAAACAGATATGATTTGTAATCTAGCTAGCCTTATCTCATTACAGTGTCACATTTGTCCTTTTATTAACAAAGTGTCACATTAATCAAATATTTCAAAAAGATCATAAAATTAGAACTGATATTCATTCCTTTATTTCCTCCTGCAAATTGGATGAAGCATCTTGCGTGACATCTGATCAGAAAGCTGTGGCAAAATGATCTCATTGAAACCTTTTCTGATACTGTCTGGAATGGATTATAGAAGCTATTTCACTAGCTTCTTAGAAGAAGCTGATTTCCCAAATTAGCCCCTGAAAGTTAATCTCAGAGGCCACATTAAGATTCCTCATGAGAAAACTAGATGCCAAGAACACCGTACTTTCCTCTAGATTGAATGGAAACAGAGCCTGAATATCCAGAAATACTGCCAAAATCCAGTAAAATTCACTAGTTCGAACATGGGCAAGAGAAGGTAATGGCTTAAGGCAAAACCCAAGAGTACTTTTTCTACCCCTTGTTCTCCCCACAGGCAGAGAAACATTTCTCAGTAAACAAGAGAATGCAAGGTAATATAAACTATTGCTTAAAGCTGAACAATAGCACTGAAAGGAAAGAAATGGATGAAACACTACCTGAATTATAAGGGAATCGTGCTCTACGGCTGGATACCGCAAAATTATCAATGACTCAAAAATATTTAAGTATGATATACACGTTATTAGAAATTCATGTAGTGAAAACATAATTAACATCCAAGTGCATGCTATAGGGAAAAGCAAATAAACATGTATTCCATGCCTATGCACAACAGAGTGCAAATATGTTAGTGAACACAGATGTGGGTCACTTTAATCTAAAACTGCTGTAGTTTGATAAGTTTTAACAAGCACTGTGGAATCTGAACTAGGTAACTGATAATTATTATTGCATTTTGGCCTGAATTGGGCTACTGCGGACTTCCAGCAAGAGAAATTTCAACAATTAAAAAGAAGTTTAGCAAATTTGTAAGTATTAAACTGCACTACTTAGTTGAGTTGCTGCTTCTTTTTTTATGCCATGAATTCATACTAAAGCTGTTTTTTTGTTTGTTTTTTCTTTCATTTTAGTTTTCTTGATCCTATCCCTGCACGTCTAGGCAGCATCCCTGTACTCTTCCCATGCCATATGCCCCTGCTTCCACTGCCTGTGCATTTCCTTCTTGCGCCTCAGTTTGACCAGCAGGTCCTTACACAGCCATCCCAGTTTCCTGCCCTCCCTGCTTGCTTGCTTTCTTACACAGGGGGATGGAGAGTTCTTGCACTCTAAGAAAAACATCCTTAAAGAGTTGCCAGGGACAAAGGAGATGAACAGAGCTAAGGACAGTGTTCCAGGGTATCTCATCCACCAGGTCTTTTTATAGGAGCCCTCCTATTTCTGACAGTTTCTTTGTGACAATTTGTGACAATTCCTCCTTCCTTTGTGACAACTCACAACTATTTCCCCTGTTGCTTCCTAAAGTTTCAGCAGTCCCTAGTTCTTTTCTGTAAGAGGTACATTCCTTCCTCCGCTAAATCTAGTTCAAAGCTCTGATAATAAATCCTGCCAACTTGCTACCCAGAATGCTCTTGCACCACCTGGTCAAGTGTGCACCATCCAGTGCCAACATGGCTGGTCAAAAGTGCACCTGAGATTGTAGAACCCAAAACCCTGAGCGTGGCTAGTGCCACGCAACTAATCATCCACCTGATCGGTTAGCTTTTCTTTAAACCACATTTTAGAATATACAGCCTATCCAGCTTTAAGTTACCAACCCCATGTTTTACCAGGCTCCATAAATATTCTTAGTTGCTACCTTTCTGATGTTGCCAACAAGCTTGCCTTAGAATGCATTTTAATACAGAAAATGTTTTCATTACAAGTATGAGCTCTGCTTCATTACAAGTATCAACACTAGAGTACTCTTCATCCCCAGGAAAATATTTTTGGCAAACTGAAAACAGGTCGCCAAGTGAGACCGGAAGGCCAGCAAGACTACCGCCACCTCAGGCAAGATTTGCTATGCCTAAACCATTTACAGTCAGTTTGGTTGCCAAACATCAGTTTGATTTTTGGCTGATTTCAAATTAAGTTACACCAACAAGTTAGACTACCACTTTCTTCTGCAACACGTTGCAGCACTGAATTGCTCTTACATTATTTCAAAGATTTCTTCTACAAGATCTGACCATTTTTGTTTTTCCCCCTGTTATTCAAGTCATTTACTTCATCTATCCCCAGCAGTCAGAGACATTTCTGCATTCTGTACCCCCCAAAGCGACTGCAACCTCTACTCAGATTTGTACTACTTACATATTTAATAATATGCTCTATTTCATTATTGCAGATGTTAATAAAAATACTGAAGAGACCTATTTAGTTCACTTGATATGTCCTTCCAGCTTGACATCAAACAGTTACCTTTGCAAAGACTGATGAGCCTAAGGCAAATAGGTAGCACTGATAAGCAACTCATTTTTGAAGAACATTTCCGCCTTTGAGAAATACAGGACTGTCCCACATTTAACTAAAAATTCACACCTTAAGTATTTGGATAGAATCAAAATAAGTAGTATGCGCCCATACAAGCATTAACAAGAGTGATTTAGTTATAATGACAGACCATGAAGAACTTGTCTCCTAGCAAGCCTTCTCTTATATATACACACCAGATCAATCACTGTTCATTAACATTGATAAATGATGACCAGAGAGCACCTCTCCTAGAAAGGCAGGCTGAGAGAGTTGGGGTTGTTCCCTGGAGAAGAGAAAGCTCCAGGAAGATCTCATTGCAGCCTTCCAGTACCTAAAGGGGGCCTACAGGAAAGCTGGGGAGGGACTCCTTGTCAGGGAATGTAGCGATAGGACAAGGAGTAATGGCTTTAAACTAAGAGGATAGATTTAGATTAGATATTAGGAAGAAATTCTTCAGAGGGTGGTGAGGCACTGGAGCAGGTTGCCCAGAGAAGTTGTGGATGCCCCATCCCTAGAAGTGTTCAAGGCCAGGTTAGACAGGGCTTTGAGCAACCTGGTCTAGCGGAAGGTGGTAGAATGCATCCCTGCTCATGGGGGGGGTGTGGGGGTGGGACTATATGATCTTTAAGGTCCCTTCCAACCTAAACCATTCCATGATAAAACAGTTGTACTCCCAACATTAAAAAACGGCTATCAGAAATGTATTGAGGTAAGCTCCATAGATCTGAATACGGTGATTCTACTGCTTTCAGAAGCTGTCTTGGTAACAAAAGATTAAGCCCAAAATTTGTCACGATGAACTCATCGTTCTTTAGTAGCACAAACTCAAAACATACCTGCCTTTAGTAAAAGTATCCTGAAAGCTAACTTGGCTTAGGTTGCCCATCACTGAAACAGAGCTGTAAAATTCTAAAAAGGCAATAAAAGGATACTGAAATATTGCTATCCTCTTACTATTAACATTCAAATGCATTTCAGTTTCCTGAACATTTTTAGCAGTCTGATTAAGTCTCACGGTAGCAATAGTTTCTGATGTCTGATTCAAGTTCTGCATAGTGACTTCATAAAAAAGCCTTCCATTGGTATAGATTTAGATTAAAATCTTCACAAAATGTATGTTTTGCTATGCACGTGGATAGTAGAGTAGCTTGCAGCAAAGAAAAAATTAATTCATTTTTTTTTTCTTGAGGGTCATCCAAGAAGACTGTAAAGAATTTTGTTTCAGGTAACGTGCAAAAATTATTCCAGTATTTAATTACTGAAAATTTAATTCTATTGTTTTGTGAGGTCTGAACATCAATAAGGCAGTGAATACCAAGTAAAAATGAACAGCTAGTACCAAACACTGTACAGTGAAGAGGTTTGATCTCGTAAAGATAAGTCACCCACTTTGAGCCACATTAGCAGCTGAAGCGAGAACACTACACAGTATAATCAAACAGGTAAGTTTGTCTTTTTTTTTTTTTATGATGGAGTTGATAGGGTCCTTTTGTGACAAAGTATTTTTCATCAGTTTTAAAGTAGCTGGAGACACTTTTAAAACAAAGTTGTCTTAGCACAACAGTATTCAGGAAAGCTTAATATATTTTGCCTCTGTTTTAGAAAGAGTAGTAACGTGTTGAGAAAAGGGAAATTGAAAGCAACTGCATGAATCAGAAGTCAAGACTTCTGTGAAAAGGCTAAGAAAAACATCATCTAGAGTCAACTCCCAGAACTCCACATTACCAAAAAAAAACACAACAAAAAGATGGAACTAAAACAACTATCTTTAGCTTGGGCTTACCAAATTAATTAAAAACAAACAAACAAACAAATGTTAAACAGCACAGTCGTTCTTCCCTGAACATTTTCTTTTTTATATCATCACAAAACAAAATACAAGTAAGGCCACATTTGGAATACCGTCATAAATTCAACATTTTTCCAAGGGCAATAGCAAACTACTTCAGTCATCATGGACAAAAGAAGCCTCTAAGAAAACTTCTCTGCTTGCTTTGCCTCACAAAATGAGGAACTAAGATATATTTAACCATTGGTCATAAACATCTGAAGGAGTAAATTCCACTGAGAAAAGAGGTGTTTTAGTCCAAAACACCACAAAATGACAATAAAAAAAAATAATTAAAAAAAACACAGTTGGAAATGGGGTTTTGAAGATCAGAAGAACAGGATTCTGGAACAACTTTAAGACTTCAAATATTCAAATCTGTCAATTCCTATTATGCTTAAATGCCAGAAATTAAGAATTGTTATACATGAAACTGTTTAACTACACAAATACATGCACACAAATAACACTGCAATTAAGTCATTTTTCCCTTAGGTGGTGACCATGAGACTAAACCCCCACCCCCCCCCCGGAAATTTTCCTCCTTTTCCTCCATTCTGAAAATGCTAGGTGGCTTTTTAATAAGACTTCTGCATT